TGGGATTTGTTAAATGGTTACACAGAAAAAGAAACAGATTTTTCCTGTGTATTTGTTTGGATGTTGGTGATAAACTGAAACGATGCCAAATTCCTTTCTACCTGCAAACAAGAGATCCATTATGCCCTAAGAATAGCTGTTGTATGAATATTTCCCTGCTTGAGAACAGCTCCATTATTCTATGAAGCTTAGAAATACAAGGAAGAAATAAAACCCCAACAGGAAATTGAATTTGCACCTTATTTAATGCATGGTAGCAGAGCAGATCATTAGACTTTTCTTAATAAATAGCATTCACTTCTGCAAACTGAGAGCCCTCTCTCACAGAGTCTTCTTGTGTGGTTTTGTTTCTTCAGTGTTGAAACAATTTTTACTTAACATAAACATACAGTTATTTTACCAAGGGCCTGGTTTTTCAGCTCTCACTGACAATAAGCCTGAGGAAATCCTACATAATGCTCAGTAGGATCAAATTCTGCTTCCATTCTCTTTGAAAAAACTCTGATCATCTCTGTTAAAGCTTGGAAGTGACTCATCTTAAGAATGGTCCTGGTCCCTTGGAGATCCCAGGCAGCTGGATTGCTCTTGAGCAGCTGCATTTTGTCATAATACCCCAGGTTTGCACACATAAACCCTGCAGCTTTGAGAGCTGACACAAGCACTGACAGTGCCTCCAATCCTTTTGTCCTTTAGGGATGCAAAATAGTAGCTCCAGAGAGTAGTTCAAGACAGAAAAAGCTGGCAGGTGGGTGTTTTCCATACGGTGGGAGGCAGAACTGTATGCCAGCTTATTCCATTCACAAGAGAGGCAGGATGGTTTGTTTGTAATATGAAATTCTTTGATATACAGACTCCGAAAAAAGGGCTGAGTTCCTCCTGGAGCTTTTGAAGATAATGGTTTTCTTTTCTCATTTAAAGAAAAATGCTGTGGTGGTTTTTTGTTTGTTCGTTTGTTTGTTTTTTGTTTTGTTTTGGTTTTTTTTTTGTTTGTTTGTTTTTGTTTTTTGTTTTTTTTTTTCTTTTTGTCTCTATGCTTGTGGTACTGTAGGGAATAGAAATGCTCCCCAGTGTCTCCTGTTTTAGAAGGGAGATCTTGGTCATGTCAACAGAATGTCTTCCATCATACTGAGAAGGAATAATCTTGGTGAAATGTTACTCTCCTGTAGAAGTATTTCCATGTGATGGATGTTTACAGAATACCTCTTGCATTTTGCCCTGTCAAATGTGATTTGTGCATCACTATTGGCTCCATGAAGTAATTCTTTCAAAGTTGTTTTTCCCATCAGTATAGGAAAAACCAAGAAGAATATAGTTTGACATTTCCCATTAACTGTCATCATTTAGGTGTAAATTTTTCTTTGATGACATGGTATGTGTATCACAGCAGTTGCTTAGGTCACGCCTTTAGGATGTGTTGTCCATATGTAGCGTTCACAGCTGATTTCTCTTCACTGCCTCTGCTGTTTTGTGGCATGGATGTTGCTGGGCATATGGTCTTTCTTTTTAATAAAAAATAATCACAATTTGTACACCTTTTCTGTATTACTTCTACATTGGTCATAAATATGTTTGCTGAGGCACAGTGTTTCAGCTTGAAGGGTTGTATTGTCCGAACCACGACTTCTGCACACTTGCCAAAAGCAGAAAAAAGGAGAACCTGTTTAAATCCTTTCCCTGTTGCACACCACATTGTACACCAAGTGTGGATACAGTCATGTTTGTCCTTTCTGATTTTGATCTCTGACTCAAAGTGAAAGCAGCAGGCTGGAACAGCGTTTTTCCAACCATGGATGTTAACAGTCTGGGTGACCCTTGTTTTGCCCATGTGGCTTAAAGCTGTGATTAGTGATAGGAACGCATGTGCTAAATTGACTGCAAAAATCCCATGTAATGTGGGGTTGCCAGGGTTTGTCTTTAATTCCTTCAGATTGGTGTGTGCTTCCTGCTGTGAGAATGCCACAGATGATGAATCTGCTGGTGGGTCACTTCTGCTCGTGCCTGAATTCATGACTTGCCAGTATGAGAGAGTTTAACTCAGAACTTCTGAGTTATTGACAAAATGAATTAGAGATTGGGTGGAAAGGAGACTTCCAAAGAAAGAAAAGGGTGATAGAGGGAGCTTCTTTTTAGTAATAGTAATTACTGTCTTCAAAAGACTTGCCAAATAATTTAGCCCCCATTTTTGTCAGAAGGCTTCAATGTCTGTAGCAATTCATGCAAGAGGGTAGAGCCAATAATTGTGAGTGCATGAACCCTTTCATTCAAAGTCTGTAGTGTTTTTTGCAAGCTGTGGTCTGCCACAGACCTCTGTATGATGCGTTGAAACTGGATTTTCAGAAGAAGCTGGCACAGACGTGGCATTGAATGTTCCTTTTGATCATCCCAGCTTATTAGACCACTCCCTTGGCAGGTAAAGAGGGCTGCAATGACCAAGTGAGTTCTCCAAAAAGTGACTCATTGGTAGAACTGGGGACCATAGTAAAGAGCCAGGGAGTTCACAAATGCAGCTTCGGAGGCAGACACAGCAGCGTGCTGAGCGACTTCAGCTTGAGGCTGAAAAGTGTATAGACTTGGATGTTAAAGCTACAAGTTAAATTAAAAATGTGGTTTAAATAATTGCACGGACACATGACTAGCTCTTTAAGAAATTCAGCAGCTTCTGAAGCATCTGCTATTGACCACTCTGTGACCATACTCCACTGCATACACTGCAACCACAGGATCTAATAGTCTGAATACTGAAGTAATCCCTAACAACTTTCTGACATTAAAGCAGAATTCTCAATTACTCCATGATTTAATTGTAAGGATCCACCCAGAGTAACTTAGAGAAACAAACCTATTCAAGTAGGCTCAAGTCTCGCCTCTGGACCTCCTGTGTGGTGCCCAACTCAGGAAGAGTCCAAGGTGATGTGGTGTGGAGGTCACAGTGGTTTCTGCCTTATGGTTACATGATACTGTACCATTAGTTTCAAATTAATATTTTAAACAAAATGGATATCAGTAGAAGAAAACGAAGGAATGAGAGAGGTGTTTGTTTGTTTTTTCCTGGAGGTGTACCTAAAAACCAGCCTGGAACATTTTGGAGCACTATGGTAGAGCCTTAACAGTGGTTCTTTGTAGTTCTTCTCAGTCACTTGTAATTGAGTTTTGGGTGCTTGAGGATTTAATGCCACCATGAAATTAAATTTGTTTGCACGTGGAATATTATCATTGTTCTATGCAGAAATGTGAAACTGGAAAAACGCTAGTACTGATACTGCTTTAATTCTAAGCTGCATTATAGTATATACTGTTTACTGTTGTTCTAGTAGTTATTATTATGGTAACAGTCATTAGATCTCCAGGGCTGGGAAACAGAGAAAGAATGTTAGGCACAGTATTGTGCTTGGGACTTGTGGCAGAAAGAAGAATTGAACCCAGTTCCCCTGATAATCTTTGTGTGTTGTGTATTTTAATTTTTCAAGGACTTTGTAACTGCAGGGACCTAGAATGCTTCTTATTTATTTTTCCTTAGTAATCAGAACTTCTGATATGCAATATTTCTGATATTTGATCTAAATGTACTTGAATGTTTTGAAGAGGGATGAGATGGAATTGCCTGCAGTGTTAAGCCAATGTCCTAGCCTGCTGTGAAGAGTGATTTCTCTTACCGAATTACACAGATACAGCAATATATAGAGGAGCAGTAGGAGTGGCTGAAACCAAAATACCTGGGAGCAGCTGCATATGAGTTTTTGGTGCTACTGAGGGACACTGAGTAGGTAGTTTCAAGTTCTTTGTAGAATCCAAGCTAAAGACACAGTGTGAAATCCAATCTGCCATCTCCCATGGTGCTTTCTCTTCATGGGATTTGGCTGTTACAGGCAGGATTGCTTTCTGTCTCTGTGTTGACCAGAAATGCCAACGTAGCACTATGAGTATTTTCTTAGAGCAAAACAGATGCCTGGTCATGATGTGTTTTGGTTTGGGTGAGTAAGTGTCTTACAGTGGAAAAACTGCCAAGTCACAGAAATCCTTGGCTGGTTCTTCACCCTTTTATTGTTACAATTATTTTTCCCAATGAATTTGTTCTTGGCCACAAGTCTCTATTCAAATATTAGAGTTGTTTACCCAATCCATGAAGTACGGGGAATATAGTATATAAAAGACTAAAGTGAGACCAATTCAGATTAGGCACTCAAAGGTAATAGTAGTTCTTAGGATATTGATTTTTTTCAGAATACAGGTGGGGAATAATCTTCTATTGACTTTATTTGGTGTCCAGTATACTGTTATATAGTTTGTTTGCATTTACCATGAAGTCTATATAGCGAAGGTGTGGCTAAATTTTTTGTTTGACTGTCTCTTCACTGCAGCTTTCTCCCAATATTTATGTCTAAATTAATAATGTAAAATCACCCTGAATATTTCAAAGACCATAATTTTAAAAATAAAACCAGAAGTATTGATGCAGCACTGGTGAAGCAGCTCAGTGCTTCCTAGGGACTGGAGTAGTTAATCAAAACCCGGCAACGTTTCAATAATATTCATTTTTTTCTGGAAGAATCAGCACCTTGAAAGCTTTTTAAAGGATATGGTTGCATAAAAAATGTATGCTAGTGTGAAAAAAATAGTAAAATCTGTTCTATTTATGGAATCATGTATTTTCTTCTGCTCACATCCATCCCCAGAAGTGGAAGTAAGATTACATTGGTACAGATAACTGTGATAACGTGATTAACTGAGTGATGCAAGGTAACTGAGGTCTTGGTAAACTGAGGACCAAGTACGTGAAAGTTATGATTATGTAGACAAGGAGAATCTTCATTACAAACTCTCCTTTAACCAGAGAACACCAGCCATGTCCTGGGATGTCAAGGCAGGAAGTGACAGGAGGAAAAAGCAAAAATCTGATAGAAGGGAGAAAGAGCACCAGGGCCATCTCACTTGTCAGCAGGTGACATCCTTAGTAGGTATATTTTTCTAATCTGTCCGTGTGGTTGGTTTTCTCCTTCCAGTGTGTGGGTGTGACTTGGCGCAGGGAGGCTTTTTCATCAAGAACGGGGAATACCTTTGCACCCTGGATTACCAGCGCATGTACGGCACCCGCTGCAACGGCTGTGGAGAGTTCGTGGAAGGAGAAGTAGTGACAGCTCTGGGAAAAACTTACCATCCAAGCTGCTTTGCCTGTACTGTGTGCAAGTAAGTCACCCCTTTCGACTAGCATGGTGTGAACCCAGTACAAGGAGAACAGGGAAAAAGGTATCGCCATGAGACAGAAATCTCAAGATGTGTTTCTCTTTGGGAGGCAATTGGCTGGAAAAGATCTGCTGCAAGTCTGACTTTAAGGGTCTTCAAAATGCCACTCATTTGTTTGGGGGACGCAGCTGCTGTGTTACATATAGTTCCCTGTTCTCAGAAAGTTACCCTCACACCTGATGGAATTATTAGGCATTGCATGTTGAGATAATGGATATGGGTTGAGTTGAGTTCAGGGGATCGGCCCAGCTTGGTTGGAGAAATGAGGTAAAGCAAAATTCTGGATACTATTTGGGCTATGAGAACAGTTAAACAATTGAAAACACACTGGAGACTCATTTTCACATCATGTAAGAACTCATGGCTTTGGGACAACTGGGATTTCCCCTCTTCTTCCCAAATGCTGTTTCTTGTCCCCAGAAGCAGAGCCAGTCTTCAGTTCTACAGCAAATAAAAGAGAAGATACCTAAGTCTCTCTGGATGGGAGAAAGGTGGCATTTTTAACCTCTATCTCTGATGAGTAGCTGAAGTACTTTGTCCTGTAGCCTGGGACATTTTTCAAGACCTTTTCTATTGAAAGTGTTTTGATTGTTTTTCTGGTTTTTAATAGTGTGTGAATTTACTGCATGTTGGTAATCGTATAATGTGTATGTTTCAGTTTTATTTCCAAGGACAGCATGAAACCTGATGATACAGTATGAAACATGACATTAGTTTTCTGTACATTGACTTGCATCAATCTTTTTATGTTGAATGAACAAAAGATGAGTCATTGGAGTAGATTAATGAAATGCAGTATTGCTGCTGATTTATTTTTGACCCTCTTAGGAATGGCAGTGGAAAGGAGACAATGTCTTTAACATTTTGGTTTGTTGAAATCAGCAGCTGTTCTTTTGTTAAACAGTTTTGGAGTGAGGTGGGCTGTAGCAGGGTCTGTACCCAGCAGCTAAAGCTCCTTATTAAAGATTTGGAGTTAAAAAATGTTATTCATCCTCTGCTTTATGCACCAAATAAGAGTTAACAGCAATGTCAACTTCTGCCTAACACACATTCTTAACATTTACGAGTGAGTAGCTCCACATTCCTTCACTAGCCTCAAGAACAGTTCCAATTCTTCCTTTGAGTTCTCTTCTGTATCATTTCCTATCCACGAACATCCTGCTGAGACCATCATAAACGTAGCTGTTGTGTCTTAGGAGATTTCACTGTCTCTACTATTCAGACAAAATAAGTTTGATAATCTTTTTTTTTTAAATGAAAATACAAGGCAAGTCTAACCTCTGCTCTGCTTGCATCCATGGATTGGATTTCTTCCAGTGCCTGGCTTTGCCAAGGCCACATTGCAGAAACTATTTGGCCCGAGTTTCTGTAAAATATTGATTGCGCTGGAGGAAGGCAGCAAACTCCAAGCACAGGGAACAGAGGGAAATTTCTGGCATAACCTTTGCAAAAATTTGTTTTTCTCTTTATAACTTTCCAGGCGTCCATTTCCACCAGGAGATCGAGTTACCTTTAATGGAAGGGACTGTCTCTGTCAGATGTGTGCTCAGCCCATGTCCTCCAGTCCAAGAGAACTCTCTGCCTCAAGCAGTAAGTATTTCTGAATTTCTGAAGGCTCTCACTTTCCCAGGCTCATCCACATTTGGTTGCAACTAATGTAATTCACCTTTAAAAAAGTGAACTATCTCTGGGAACCATATTTTTTTCTTTCCTTTTTTTCTTTTTCTTCATTAAAGTTCCTGGTACTACACATGGGAAGAGACACATTTCAATATGAAAAAGTGACTTTTCCCCAATTACTGGATTTTTAAAAGAGCTGATTTTGCTTTGATAGGCATTGGAGAAATATTTAATTGATAAAATCTGAGGTTTAGATTACATTTTTTTCATTTATAATTGTGCAGGTTTAAATATTCTAAAGAGGACAAAGTCAGAAGAAATTAATTTTCTTCTACTATTTAAGACTTTAATTAAATTTTCCTTTAAAAGGAGTATCACAAGATTATGCCTCCATTAGATTGATACCACAATGATACTGTGATCAGAACCTCAAGAAACAATTATAAATAAGACAGAAACCAAGTTTAAGGGAAAGAGAGAGAAAGAAGAAAGTTTGGGAGGGAAATTAACTTGCCTTGCTATTGGGGCTTAATGCTTGTTAAAGATAATGTGTAAATTACTGATAATAATCTCTGGTAGTTAACCCTCTGGTAGATAATTTTTTTGATCTTTGGGGATTTCTGATTCTTTCTCTGACTGTGGGATTGTGCTCAGCACTCACCTAGTGTAGTTTTATAAATCCAAATGGCCGCAGCTTTCCTTGTGACGCTGGGTAGTTTTCTGTTGTTGCTGCTTTCCTTCAGGGGGACACTGCATTTTGTACTGGTCCTTGGCTTTGGGATCTTAGGATTATAAAGTGTTATGTAAAGGCAAAGATAGATGGTGTTTGTGCACGGCAGAGGAGGAAAGTGAATCTCAAGTTATCTGATTTGCCTGAGAACATGTAATCAAACACTTGGACAAATGGAAAATGAGAGACTTTTTTTTTTATCATGCCTTTCTGTCTGTTAAGTGATGCTTTTCCACTATAACTGTAGATTTAGAGCTGAAAATGCACAGGCTTAATCAGTTAAGGAAGAATTTAGGTATTTATGAGGTAAAAATTTTTTCAGGCACCCGGAGAATCCTCCTGAGACAAAGAAATGATGTGGCAATTGTATTTGGATTGCTGACATTTAGGAGGCATAATTGGCCAGGAGCTGCACAGCATAGGGACCTTGGACAGTACTGATGTTCTTTTTCTAAGCAATGCCACAGCATGGAATAATCTGGATCACATTCCATCTGGTTTTCCAGAGGTGGCACACCTGTCCTGCAGTGTGGCACTCCCCACATCCATGACTCCAGGTGCCAATGCCCCAGAAAATGACACCCTCAAGTTGTCTGATAGTTAGCAAACAGAAGAGCTGGATAGCCACTTCCTGCACGGTCTGTGCTTCAATTGCTTCTTGTGTTCCACACTGAAGCCATAGGTAGCAAAGATTATAAATAAATAACCTTTCCTGCAACTTTTGATGAGGTTTATTGTTCTTTTTAATTAAAATCTGGTCCTCCTGGACAAACTGCCTTACCAGTATACACAGCAAGAGAGCTCCTGCTCATAACAGTTTGGAGTGCATTGCTTGGAAATCTTCAGGTAGCTGTTGTGGTACATCTTGCTCTTTTATGGAAAAAGACTTGTGGAAAGGTATAATGTAGAGTTTTTGGTCATTTTAGAGCAGAACTCTCCAAAACAGACAAATGAAAGTGAGATCAGCAAGTGTTTTTAAGTCCAGAACTACTCCATTAAAAAAATATCTTCAATAAAAAAATGTCTTCTAAGATATGCCGGCTGCTGCTTTGTCTTTGTGCAAAAGTTTACTTAGATATGGAGAATCCTTTCTTGCTGGCACCAAAGAGCAATTTTCAGTTAGTGTAAGCTATTTCAGATTGCTTCCGGGTCTCTCCTGCTAACTAAATCAGACACTTTTTTTTTTTTTTCCCCAAATGCTTTACCCTTTTTTGAAATAATTTTTTTTATATGCAAGTTCTTTTAGAAGAGAATCTCATTCACACTAAGCATCTATTTTATATCCTGTATTGCTGTTGGCTTCCCCTGATTGCTTTCAAGTGGATCACTAGAGGAAGCTTTCCTTAAAACAAATAAAGTTTGAAGTCAGGGAATTCAATAGACTGTAAGTATATCAGGTTTGATTGGTCTGTGCCATGCAAAAGGAAGCCTTCTGTCCTAGAATGTCTGCATTAATGTTGACATGACATTTTCTGGTGTCTGTTACTTCACACAAATGAAAGCTTACTGACAGCTTTGCTTGGATGATTTCAAGGAAAATCAAATGCCTCTAAATAACATCTGGAATAACACGAACCTGAATATTGTTGCACTCTCTTGTAGTGCACACCAGTGAAAATCAGATGGGAAAATACTGGATAATTATTTTCCTTTTTTGGTTAGTATTAGTTGGGTCCATGAGACTTATTTACCTTCTTTACATTAATAATATGTTTCTTTCACTACACGCGTATCACCTGCAGTAATTATAGCTATTTTCTTGGAGAACCATTTCAGTGGTTCCTTTTTTATTCTCAGACAGTCTCTTTCAATATACAGATGCTGTAGAGTAATCCTAATTTATAATTTACACGGGCCTGTTCCTTAGACACTGCTAGGTGTACACAGACTTTGGGATCTTCATTCAGCACAGAATCGAATACCAAATACCTGTAAACAACTCTGCAGACAAATGAAATGGGTGGTGTTTGGCTTTGCTCTTGTTTTATTTCATATGACAGCTTGCTAAATGAGATGTGATCTGTAAAGCAGAGTGACTGGGACAGATGTAGAGCAGCACAGAAACAGGGGACAACCAGATAACACTGACTAAAAGAGTGGTGTTGATGGCTTGGATAGTTCAGGGTTTTCAAGATTCTGTCAGAGACGTAAAGTTATTTTCTTTGGGGCCCGATAAAGGAATAATGCAATGATTTATCCCAGTAATTGATATTTATCTTTTAAACAGTGTCCAGGCTTTGTATCCAGCATCATGATTGCCTGGTTTGTATTATCTTAGGCTCTTTCTGCTTTCTGTTGTGTTCTAGCCACATGCTAACACAAAAAGTGCTTAAGGTTCCCGTTGTCTTTCCAGAAAAGCAGCCATGCAGGCATCTATTATTTCTAAATTTTACTTAAAACTGCAACTAATGTGCATGGCTATTCAATGATGGGTGCCCTGCTTCCTCACCTCCTCTGTTTTCCCTTCTTTTAATTAAGATCTCCTGTATTATATGTCTTTTCCATATACAAACCCCTCATTTCACTGTCCCTCAGCATTTCATGTTGCATATTCAGTGGACTGGGTTTGAAGGTCACCTTTTAAAATCTGCAAATTATACATTTTTTGCCCCTTATTTCATGCTGTGATTTAGAGTGAAAAGGAGCCAAAGTAAAAATTTTAATGTTTTTGTTGTAATTTTTTGGTTTTATTTTATGTTTTTTTGGGGATTCATGGTTTATTGTTTCTGTGTTGTCAGAGGAGTGATTATCTGGTGGTTACTTCCCTTGGGTCTGGGAATTCTGAGTGTGGCTTCTGGTTTTTATATACATGTTTTACGTATCAGGTTAGGTACTTAAATTTCAAGGGTTGGTTTCTACCAGCAAAATGAAAAAAAAATAATGCTGCCCTAGCTTAGTAGTGTGTAGTGGTTATAAGCAAATTGACAATGTTCTGGTACTTAGATGATGCAGTCTTAAGTACTGCAGTACTACCTGAGCCTTACGAACACTAAAGTCATAAAAATTAGGAAATTGGTGTGGTGTTAACTTGTGTAAGAAGAAATCCAAGAACTTAAAGTCTGCCTAAATCCTTGCTATTCATCCGTGTTAGGGTTAGGTACTTGTGAAAGAGCAGTGTGACCTGTACAATACATCTTTCCAGCCCTCAGCATCTCAAGCTATTTTATTCCCTAGTGATCAGATGAGTAGTGACTGGGGGTGCACACTCTCATCATTTTTATGAGCATTAGCGTGTTGAGCAGAGGCAACGAGACTGGCCACGTTAACAGATTACCCTCTTTGATACAAAACATAAAAGGACAAACAAAACATGAAATTAAATGAAAGTAAAACATGAAAGTAACATGAAATCTCCACATGGAGATAAAATACCCTCCATTAGGGCATTTTATCAGTGAATTCTCACCAAGGCAGCTGGTAAATGAACTGATGCAGGCATTTGAATATAAAAATCTCTGGTTTAGTCAGACCTTCATTTTTTAGAAGTACCACACTGGCTTGCATTTCTTCTTGAAATGCACAAGAGGTGTCGTGAAAAGTGCATCTGAGAGCAGAGCAACCACGCAGAGATCCACACACTGGGGACAGGCATGTGAGGTGGTGCCAGCGGTCTGTGCTGGTGGAACTTGAGCCAGCAGTCCTCTGGCTCAGGCATCATCTTCGAAATCCTGAAGAGACTACGTGTCTTTGAATACAGTTTAATACATTTCCCTCTTCCTCAAACAGAGATTTTTTTTTTCCCTTTAGGCATTTCACTTTTCTATTTTCAGCATAAGTATTTCAGTAATAAGAGTGTTACATGACTTCTACCTGCGGTTGAGCCCTTTCTCTGTTGATTCCTTATCTGGGTGCTGGTATAGAAGTTTTAGTTATTTCTGGTTATCCTTTTGCTGAAAGGTTGGGCCATTTTAATGATGTGCATGAACTAGTTAAGAAATTGCATTTCAGATGAAAAGTGAGCTTCCTAGAAGGATAGGACAAACCTCCTTATCCAAAAGAAACTGGAGCGTTACAATCATCTAGCGGGAGTTTTTATTTGAAAAAAGTCACCTTTAAAACGATGGCACAGACTTTCACAGTTGTTTCTTCTTCATTGAAACAGATACCTGTGTGCTGTATGTGCAGAGGTACCCAGTGTTTGGAAAGAAGAATGGGGAAGGTATTTCAACTTCCCTTTCTTTGTAACGGTCCCTCCTGTGAGTTAATAATGTCATTACAGCACAGCCAAGGCGTGGACCAG